TGCTGGGGGCTTTTCTGCAGCTCACTGTGCTGATCTACCCAGCACCTTGAGGCGCATGGCTGGAGGGCATTTTAGATTGTGAATATGTCTTATTGCAACCCCACAAGAAATGTTTGGATAGTGGAGGAGAAACAAAACTTGGAATGTATAGAACCTGTCTTAGTTTCCTAAGGCTGCCATAACAAATTCCCGTAAACTGGGTGGCTTAAAACAACAGGAAAGTAGTCTCTCACCGTCCTGGAGTCCAGAAGTCTGAAATCAAGGTGTCGACAAGACAGCACTGCTTCAAAGTCTCTTGGGAAAAACACTTCTTTGCCCTTTTCAGCTCCTGGTGTTCCTTGATAGCATCACTCTAATTTATGCGTCTGTCTTTACATGACCTTCTCCTTGGTGTCTGTGTCACCTCTTCATCTGTTTCTTATAAGGACAATTGTCATTGGATTTGGGGCTCAGCCAGCTAAACCAGGATGATCTCAAGATCCTTAATTTAATCATATCTGCAAAAACCCTTTTTCCAAATAAGATCAAATTCTCAGGTTCAAGAGGTTGAAGCATAGACATATCTTTTTGGGAGCCAGCAGGCAACTCACTACAGAACTATAAGCTGATCTAGGAAATTTTTTTTCATTCATCAGAAGTGTAAAACTATAAGCAAGAATTTGGTTTTCATCAACACTAAGTCAAGATGGAAATTCTTTCCTGCCAGAAATATACTCAATTGTAAAATACATTTTTCTTTTTTTTGATGTAAAATATGATTTAGTCAGAATTCCTGTGTTTGTAGGGTACAGATTTGCAGCAATGCTACAAATAGCTAGAATGCTTGTCTGTAAAGTCATGTGTTTGTGATTCTGACCTTGTCACTGAATCTTATAAACCAAATTTCAATTTCTTGCTTGTTTGACATGAAATACTGACATTAAGAGATAATACAAAACTCATAGGTAAACCACTGTAATGAGAAAGCAACAAACTGGTTAGTAAATATTGTCAATTCAAAGAATATTTTAAGATGAGTCACTGTGCAAGAAAACTTGACACACCCTGAAATACTATAGCTCATATGTGAAAGGAACTTGATAGTGGTTTTTCCCAGTATGACAACAATCCTAAAAATTTTATGACATTACCAATATCAAGTTGTGAAGCTGAAAAAAAACTTTTCTAAGCCATCAATAATAAAAAATAAATTTTAACCATTCATTCTAAAGGAAAGACTGAGTCATTTTGCTATATTTTCTATAGAAAATAATACCACAAAACTTTTGATATAGAGGAATCAATAAGAGTATGCAGCAAAAGAAATACTTTTTTTCCCAGAAGTATTATCAATGTGTCAAATAATTAATACCTAAAAGTATTAATTAATTCCTAAAAGTATTAATTAATTACTCAATAAATAATATGTTATTATCTGGGTTTTGTGATTGTATTTATCAGTGTAAAACTTTTTTATTTTCTCATGAATAATTTTCTTATAAATAAACATATACTTTTATATCTAATTTTGTACTAATAAATTTGCCTTCTTTTTCTTAATGAGGTCCCCTCCTGAAGTTATACCTGTGTCATTGAACCGGGACCATCCCTGGGTTGGAGCCCTTCGCTTTAAGTGTCTTGTTCTATTAACCAGACTTTTTGTTCCTCATATCCTTTGCCTTCTCCCCTGGCTCTGTGCCCATATATATATTCAGGTTGTTCTCATCCCAAGGATGTTTCCATCTTTGCAGTTACTCCTTGGGCCTTAGTTTCATCTCTTTCCTCTTGCTGCCAAAGAATGATAGTTAACACCTCTGCTCTTGAACCCTACCTGGCCACCACCCTATTAAACCAGCTCTTTGCAGAGTCACTAACTCCTTACTAACTGGAGCACTCTGGAACAACTTTATCAGGTTCTGACTAGTGTGCAATGACACCCTCCAGTCTTTACAAATGATCCTGGAGCGCTCTTAAGTGTCTTACATGCCATCATATTGCAAGTAGTATTTGTCAGCATCATTTCTCTCAAATGGTAGGTCTTAACATGAGGTCTGGCATAAGGGAAGGGAGGAAAGAGAAGGGGAGTGACTAAGAATTGAGTGCCAACTGTGTTCCAGTACAGTCCCTGTCCTGGACATTTTCATACATTTCATTTATTTTCATGTGACTTTACTTAATTCTTACGGCAACCTGGGGTATAGTTTATATTAATCCTTCTCCCTTTTTTAACCACTTGGAAAACAGAAGATCCAACCAACTGGGAAATAGAAGTTTACACAACTTGCTTACAATTGCACTGTTAATTGGTAATAGAGTTGTGTTTAGACCTAAGGCTTGTCAGTTTCTCTTTCAAGTCCATACTACCTATTAAGCTTTTATCTCTGGATTACTTGGGGAGAAGGGACACAATTATTTCTCAAGTAGAAGTGAACCGAGAGTGCCTTCCTCTTGAAGACCTGTCTCCCACTAACTTTGCTGATGCCCCGCCTTCCTGATTCTTCTCTCATTTCCTGCTGCCTTCCCTAGCTTCTTATCCTTGATTCTGTCCTTGCCCATCTTCTCTCCACTCTCCCTTTTGCTTGTTTGGTCATACGGCTACTGCAGTCACTTCTTGGAGGATAACTTCACATGGAAAATTGCCAGTTGGGATTTTTGTTCAAGTCCTCCTCTTGTTTCTGTAACTATCCACGACATCGCCCCAGCTGGGAGTTCTGCTAGGCTTCCATTCTCTAACCCACCATCTACTCTCCTCCAAAATTGTCTTCTCTTGAATCCCCATCTTCTTACTCATATTTTTACCCCGGGGTTGGGGAGTATCACCGTTGTCTTTTTTCTGTTCCTCACTCCTTTTAGTTTGTCCAACAAACATTATTGGGTATGTACTATGTGCCTGGCATCATGCTGGGCTCTGGAAATTCACTGGTGAACAAGGCAGAGTCCCTATCCTCAGGGAGCATGTGTTCTAGTTGTAGTTTGCTGTTGTCAACTCTACTGTGTCCCATCCTTTGCTTTGTCACTGCCAGTTTCTTGTAGATTTGTAGTTCTTTATATATTCTGGTTCTGAGTTCTCTGTAGAATTGCAAATATCTTTTCTCAGTCTGTTGCTTGACTTTTCACTCTCTTAACGAACAGATGTTTACAATTTTAATAGACGTACAATTTAGCAATCTTCTTTCGTGGACAGTGCTTTTTTTTATTATGTTCTCTTTAAAAATTTTTTTTATCTACCCTAGTAACTTGAGTATTTAAAAAAATATTGATTTGTGGGTTTACTGAACCAGATTTTGGAGTGTGGGACCTGGAGATCCATATATTTTAAAGCTCCTGTAAGTGCAGGTGGCTTTTAAACACAAACACATTAAAAGTTCCCCAATCTTATTTATAATGAGTGAAATGCAAGTTATAACTGTAATGAAATGTTATTTTTCTCATCCATCAAATTAATGTGGATCAAAAAGTTTTATAACACACTGTGTTAGCCTCATATGTGAGACACTTGTATATTGTTGGTGTCTATGTAAATAAGTACAACCTCTAAAGAGCAGTTTAGCAATACCTATCGACACAAAAATACATACACGTGCCCTTTGATCTACCTGGAATTTCTAGGAATATACACTACTCGTACTCAGAATTGTGCACGAAGAAGTATGTTACATGGATATTTACTGCAGTGTTATTTTTAATAGAAAAATATGGACAATTATCTAAATATCCACCAAGAGCCACACAATGAAATATTAAGAAGTCAGTAAGGAGGAGACAGTTCTATATGAACAAATATGGAATGACTTAACCATATAAGTATAAAAAAGGTATTGTAGAAGAATGTGTTTCTTACCAAATATGTACAGATTACATATATAAATATATATGTCTCCATGCTTGCCTATCTGTATGTGTATCTATACCTATATATATACCTGTATTCAAATATATTCATTGAAGGAAACGTCAATGGCGGCCACTAGTGGTATTGTCTACTATACTTTTTCTATACTGTCGGCCTTTACATACCATGAAACATTTATTCTCTTTTGTTTTTTAGAGACCCCCAGCTGATTTGGTTGATCATCATATATCTCACATGAGGAGACTAAGCCCAGAGAGTTTGGGCTCTGGGATTGCGTAGGACTCCCTCCTGGGAGTCAATCATTCCTTCTCTTCTCTGCTTTCCTTCCCAGGCTTGGTCTCTGACTCTCAGAACCAATTTGTCCTGCACGATTTCTGTCTTTATACCACAAACCATGAGCCAGGCGCCCCCTCTGAGGCTCTGGGTGGGAGGGAGAAGCCTCATGTCCTGGCCACCAGCCCGTCCCGCCCTCCTTGAGGGTGATCTATGGCTTGTCAGGGGTGTGGGTTCTCACCACTTGCTGAATAGAAAGATTCTTTGTTCTTGGGAGTGAAAATAACCCTAAGATAAATGTTGGGGCTGGAAGAGCTCAGGGATGTTGGGCTCCAGCTGCCCTGAGGCTCCTTCCTGGAGCAGGTTTAAATTTGGGAGAGACAGGAGCTGGTTTTGGAGGGAGGATCGTGTCCATGAAGGGTAGCCATGGACTCTTCAAAAATGTAACCTAGTTCCTGACACCTACCTGAAACCTACTTCCATGGTCAGTAACCTTCTATCAACCCGTGGAAACTTCCTATCCCTCATCCCTTATTGGTCATGACATGACTGACCTCCTCACAACCTCCTCTTTTTCTTCTACGCCTGAGGCTGTCTTTGGCACCCCTACCAAAACTTCCTTTTGTGTTCCCATCCCCTTCCTTCCTACTCGCTCTGTGGAGATTGCATTTCATTTCTCTGGCTGTTGTGCAGAAAGGGCACGACCCGGCTCTGCACCTGGCTGCTGCAAACCCCATAAAGTTCAGAGTATGACTTCCATGGACCATAACCTCCTGCCTTCCCTAATCCGGCTCAAGCAGGACTGAGTTGGAAGATGCAGGAGCTGCCAGGAGAGGAGAAAGGGGAGGAGGAGGGTCGTTTCGGGCTATTAGTAGTCTCGAAGTAAAGCCACAGACAAGGTTTGAGGCTGTTTATTTTTCACCCTCATTCCTAAGGTTCTGGGAGTTGTATCTACTTTTAACCCAGGAACTTTGGGATGTGGCCTAAGACCTTCCACAAACCCCAGAGGGACAGAAACCCACAAGGGACAAGGGTGAGAATAGTATCAGAGTCCTCCAGGATATTTAGGGTTGTGGTCCCCCTACCCAAACCCCAGTCCTGGCTCAGAAAGGAGGAACTTGAGGGCCTGAGGTCAGAGCCACAGAAAGGACTTAAGTAAAATTCTCAAGCTATGACCCAGTCCTTCCCTCTTTATAAGCATGATTTGTCTGGGTGAAGGGTGGTGGGAAACGGTGGGAGGAGGTTATAAGGAGAGGAGGGTGGATATGGAGGGTGCTAATAGGACACCATCTGTCCAAACTTCTTATTTCCTAGGTAAGAAAATAGAGGCACAGAGAGGCCTAGCACCATGTTTCCCCCGGTGCCTGTGTTTCTGTTCGTTCTTGCAGGCCCTTCGCTGAGGTCTAATGGAGTGGGAGATTTGAGGCAGGCTTTGGGACTGCCTGGGCCTAAGGATAAGCTGTCCAAGGTGATGAGAAGCCCCGCTCCCCGCCCCCCACCAGCCCTCCTCTTCTTTCCTCACCGTCGGGGCTGGTGCTCCAGCTCTAGGGGCTTCTCCAGTGCTCTGCAAGGGCTCCCGACACCTCAAGGCAGAAAGGGCCTGTTTGGTCCTCTGTCCACAAAGTTTAGGATGAATCATGGTTCTGGTGTATATAAAGGAATGGGAAAAAAAAACGGGTAGAGATGAGAATGACCACTTATTGAATCCTATGTGCTAGACCCTGGGGTAGGCGCTTAGCCTACACAATCTTATTGAAGGCTCACAACAGCATTTTGTCGTAAATGTTACTGTTCCCATTTCACTGAGTCTTCATTAGGTCTAATGACTTGCCTAAGGTTGCACAGGTGTGTAGTGGTGGACAGGAAACTGTGACTCCAGGAGTGTCTGGCTATAGATGCATTGCCATTATAAGCAGGCTGCCCTAGTATGTGCTGGATGCTGCCTGGCTCAGTGCATGAAGATCATGATGTCAATGAGAGCTTCAGGCCTGAGGTAACCTGAGGTAACTGGAAGAGCACCCAGTTCTGTGGATGGAGCTTTAACAAGCCAATCGAAGCACTTCTAGAGGCACCAGCCAAATTCCCCAGAGTCTCTGGACGGTTGGGCTGCCCAGCCCTGACCTCTGTGACTTCCTTCCACTGTTCCCAGGCACGGATTTCTTCGGGCTCCTTGCTGATTCTTGATGCCCTGGGCTGGTGAAGGGCTGGCTGGCTTTGTGCTCAGATTTCAATAATCTGTGGAGAAATCAATGTGTTTCCAACCCGTCTCCTGGATTCAACCAGAATTCACCAGCATGGGTTATAATTACATTCATGTAATTTGCCTATCTGAGCAGGGGCATGATGTGGAGAGGGGGTCGGGGGAGGGTGGCTGGGAGCTTCAAATTCAACTTTTCTAGACTAATAGACTGTTCCTCTCATTACAACTCACTGTTCTTGCCTTCTCCTGCTGGCCCCCCAGGATTCCACTCTGCAACCCTCTCCCTGGCTTTCCTCTCTCTTTCACTGAGGCTGACATCACACTCACATTTTCCAAAAATTCTAAATTACCCACACTCTTCTGAACTCCTGCTGTCATGTGGAATTACACATCCTAGACGCTGCCCCTGTCATTCCCTCTCACCCTCACTCTGAGCATCAGGACTCCCTAGCTCTGGCTCCTGGCTGGCCTTGGTCCCCCAGCTCAGCTTGACTTGGCAATGAGGCAGCAAGGTGGGGTCTGACCCACTCAGGAGCTCTTCCCCTTACCAGGTCCAGCGGGGAAAGGGACTGCTAGAAGGAAGTTCAGCTGTGGCCGTGTGTGTGTGTGTGTGTGTGTGTGTGTGTGCAAGCTGGCTCTGCATTATGTGGGGAAAGGCCGGTCCTTTCTGAAGTCCTGATAGATGGGATTGGAAGGCACATTGTTCAGTGGGAAAAGCCCAGGATTTGGAGCCAGAAGACCTGGGTTCAAATTCTGGTTCTGTCACTCATGGGTGCAGTGCTCTTATACAGGTCACCTCGATGTTCTCCTCTGAATATTGGGACTCTGCTTATTTTCCCAAAAGGGTCACAGGAGTATTTCCATTCCTACACGCTTTCCAGAACCCTGCCACGTTCTTTTAAGAGGTGGAGTCTATGTCCCCTCCTCTTGAGCCTGGGCAGTTCTCTGTGACTGCCTCAACAAATCCAATGAATCAGAGTGACACTATGGACTTCCTAGGCTAGGTCATTAAAGGCATATGACTTCCACTGGCTGGCTCTCAAATTTCTCTCTCTCTCTCTTTCTCTTTCTTTCTCTCTCTCTCTCTCTCTCTCTCTCTCTCTCTTAACATCTTGCCACACCTGCATCTTCTCTCTCTCTCTTTCACACACACACACACGCGCACACACACACACACACACACTGGAACTGAGCTACCAGGCTGACAAAGGCCAGGCCATATGGAGAGGGCACGTGTAGGTTCTGGCTGGGAGTCCCAGCTGAGGTCTCAGAGGACATCCAGCATCAAGGACCAGACGTGTGAGTGAGAACCTTCAGATGGTTCTAACCTTCCAAATGGAACAGAGAGGAAGGGCTTCCCCATTGAGCCCTGCCAAAATTGCAGATTTACAAGCAAAAGAAATGTCATTGTTTTAAGTCACTGAGTTTTGGGGGTGGCTTGTTAGGCAGCACAAGATATCTGCCATGGGATCATAACAGTAAGATTTGCCTTACAAAAATTGTGAGGGTTAAATGAAGAGATCCCTGAGGCAGTGCCTATGGAACCTCTATAAATATAACACACTGTCATCATCATTGCCTTCAAAGCACTTCAATGTGTGTGTACGAGATGTGTGTATCTATAATGTAGCAAGAACTGGATTGTTAATGGTTCCACGCATCACTTCATTTAACCCTTACAACTTTTCTATGCACGATAATCTCCTTCCTTCTTTAATCCAGCTCAGGCAGGACTGAATTGGTTGTGGTAAAAATTAAAATAAATGGGTATTATTATTTTCACCAATATGGAAATGAGAGAACAGAGACACAGCTAGTTTAAATTCACGTGGAACTGGAATTTGAATCCAGGTCTGGCTTATTGCATAGTTTTTACCCCTCATTCTCTAGGAGCTAGAACTGGGGCAGTCACTTAAAGAAAATGGTAGCACTAGGATATCTCAACCGGCCCTGACTTGAGAAAAGTTTACTTAATTTCATTTTTATTTCAACAAACATATATTGAGCACCTGTAATGAGACAGTGTGCTAGGTAGACCCTGCATGTACCAGACCATGGCCCTTTCTTGGAGGAGCTTGTAGTTTCTGTGGGAAACAGATACTCCCTAGTTATGTAACCTTGGGCAAGCTCGTCACCATCTCTCAGTCCCAATTTTGTTATCTGTAAAATGGGGATAATTATAGAACCCATCTCATGGGGTTATTGTACAATATAGAATTGCACAATATATAATTCTACTTAAAGCATCAGGTACCTAGAAAGTGCTCAATAAATATTAGTTTTTATAAGTACAGAAAGAAAAGTTTATAATATAATGCAGTATGTGCCACAATAGAGGGGACATAAACTGTTATGGGAGGAGAGAAGAGTAAGTAATTGGTTCATCCTGGGGTGGGGGTTGGGGGTGGTAGCAGAGAGGAGCCGACTTTTGTCCTGGGACTTCAAAGGCAAGTAGAAGTAGCAGATGGTCTATGAAAGGACAGTGTTTGGTGTGTCTGGGTAACAGAGCAGCCCCAGGTGGCTGGAACACAGAGTCCCTAGGGAGAAAGATTTGAAGCAGGTTGCGTAGGGCTTTGTGTATCAGGTTGTGGTGTGGTGCTGGCTAAGCTGCCCCATGAACTCAGGCAAGAGTCTCCCCACTCAGGCTCAGAGGTGAGGCTTTACGGTGCCCAGAAGGAGGACCCCAGGTTCCAGGGGGCAAAAGTTTTGAAGGAGAAAAGAGTTGAGCAGAATATGCAAAGGTCCAGGATGCCTAGCCTTGGGATAGAGGGCTCAGAAGGGGGAGTTAGTGTTTCAAAGAGATACTTTCGCTCCTCTCAAAAATCTGCTCATGGTAGGCCCTGCCAAATTTCAGCTAAACCAGATCAGCAGAACCTGCTCTTGCCACAAACCATCAAGCCCCCTTACCCAGAAATGTCGCATAAAGGTCATTGCAGATCAGTGAATGGCTACTTGGGGAAATTTGTCTCAGGAGGTCCAAAGCCACAGGGCTGACAAGGGGCTTCCAAGCTGGTACATCCGGCCTCAGGGAGAAGCCTCCACAGGAGTCTTGGGCAGGCTCTGGGCTCTGTGCGTACAGAGAACAGCTGCTTTGGTTTAAATATTAATAATGCAAAATGAAATGTGTGGGGTGCCCAGCACACCAGAGCCCAGCAAGTGTGTGTTGCATCTAATGTCCTCCGCACTCGGGTTTGGAAAAATGTGGTCAGTGAATTTAATATACTTTTTGGCAAAGGGAAAACGACAGTTAACTTTTCTCTGGAGCCTCAGTAAAGTGGCTTTTCTCCCTGGAAAGTAGAGGAAAGAGAGTGGTTTCTCCCAGTATGCCAACTGCCTGAATTCTGTCACAGCCCCTCTGCTCTGCCCACTCTGACACTTGCAGGGGGCTCTGAGGCCACAGAGAGTCCC